TTTAAAAGTCCGAGGTACGCCCTCCTTTCGACAAGCAATGTACAAACAAGCGGCTGCTACGGCTTCTGAATTTTTGCCTTTCAACTGTTTTGTGTCCAGAACTTGCTTAAATACTAAATTGGCCTGGTCCTACTCAAAACAACAACCAGAAATAAAGCCACAGCAAAAGCTGACAAATGAACAGTAGCGATTAATAACCTGAATCGACTTGGCAAGGTGAATTCTTTCTGACATTTCGCGAATGACACCGAACGCTTGAATGAGTTGTCTGTCTTGATTGTTCACCTTAAAAACAAATTTCGCAAAACAACGGCAGTATGCATACAGTCAAGCTCTCGATACTTTAACAGAAACCAAAGTTTCTTGAAACTAATGTCTAAATTCAGTGAAACTTCTGACCTGATTCCCAAATAAAATCGATTATTTTCAAAATACAGATAAAAAACCAACAGCTGTGAGGTATCGCCTAGAAGCATGAAAATAATGATAAGGTCATTCTGAAATGATGTACGCAGTACTGAGATTGATAACCATCACTGATCGAGGAAGGTCTGAACAATATGAAAGTATAACTATCATAGTTATAACTATCATCGATCAGACGAAGGCTGATGATACACTGAAGTTTAAAAATTTCATGCCGTTGTTTATTAAAGAAAAAAGCACTCAGCGGAAAATGGAACATGTTAAACTACTGCTGAATTCACTGCTTTAATTGTTCTCGTCATTCTAGCAAATTTCTGCATAACAGCTAATTTATTTGACGCAGTCTGTCTGGAACTATTTACTACATTGCTATTAACATTAGTATACACAATTATTGCTGTTACTTTATTCAAATGCTTTAAGTTGACCTCTGAGAGTTAAGTTTAAAAGGTCTGACCAAAGAAAACGGCAAATATAGCTGTTGCAATCATCACGCAAAATTGACAGCAGAGTCACTCAAGATTATGAATGTCTTATCAGAATGAAATGGAGTCTTAGACTCGATTCGTTATCGCAGCAAAAATTATACTGCTCACCGCAAGCAATTGTTTCACGTCTCATAGAGTAACCGCTCATAGGAGGGGACCGGTGCGAGTTTTGACTGAGGAAATCTTTCGAACAGATTTCCATTTTTTTCATGTTGCAACATAAAAACATGGTAAAGACCGAACAGAGTTCGCAACTCAGTTGTACCATCATACTCTGAGTATTCTTGCAGGCAGCGCTATCCGAATCTGAAGAAGAAAGCATCATGACGCTTTACTACGCAAGACGGTTCAAGGCTATACATTAGCTCCTACAATAAGGCAACATTTTCAAGATCAAGGCTTCTATTATTATGCCTGTTGTGTAATTATTCTATGCTTAATGCAATCTCCACCTATTCTCCAACGCCACTCAAGTAATAATCCAAGTGTAAATATGCACAGAAAGATTATTAAATACAGTTTAACTGGCATCAAATTTACTAGCTACCATTTTACATCCAACAGCAAGACTTCACCTCACCATAATCGCAATAATCTTTTTGCCGAAACTGTGAAACCAAGAATGACAATTTTCTGCAAAACAAGAATAACAACAAAATACGGGCAAAAATGACAGGATCAAACACAGCTTTAAACACCCAAAATAACTGATTCTAAGCAAACACGTTTGGAAGCTCTTGGATTGCAGAGGCAATGTGTGCCGCTGTTTCAAAGCCCGAATTTTCAACAGGTAAAATTTCAGGCACAGATACTGCCGTAGACTGATTTGTTGGATAGGTGTTTGAAGAATAACGTGGAAGATCACTGCAGAAAAGAATTTCCTGATTGTTCCTGATGCTCATAACTATTCGTACTGCATCTATATAAATAATTCTATAACCCTATGTAGCACTAAACGATCTGTGATACCGCCAGGCGCAAAAATCACATGAATGCAGATTTAAACTTTGTTTTGAACTGTTCATTAACTGCAGGCAAAGAATAATAATAAATAAATAAAACGTTTAATTTTGAAAGCTATAAAAGTAAGTCTAAATTCTAAACATCTGGACAAGAATTTTCCTGTGAATCCAACTGTTGGGTTGCCGCTTGCGTCAATCTCCGCAAAAAGAATAACGAATATAAACGAGAAGCTTTTCCAGAGAAATGAGAACCATCTGAATTGACAAATACAGTGTTAACAAATGAACTCTAACGACAAAGCAGCTACTGAAAATTAAGACATTCTTCTTAGTATAAAAAACACTTATACATTCAAAATCATATGTTTACAGATCAGCAATGACCATAAGATGTAGAAGGAAAAGAAGAATAAAGACGTCGAGGAAACGAAAAGGAAGAATATTACGGAAAAGGAAGGTAATGAAGAATAAGGAGAATAAAGGAACAGAAAAAGAGAAACTGCGTTATCCGTGATAAAAGAATACACTACAAGACGAGAGGAAAAGATCTAAACATTATATTACGAGCAACATTACGACACGGTGTTGATATACACTGATGAGATAAGAGAGCAACTGAACTACGTATGAATGCAAATGTTAATCAGGATCTTACATAAGAACACGGAGAACTGTATCAGAAATATCTTCATGGGTAGCAGCTGCAACAACAGAAACGCTTACTGTTGTTTCAGTCTTTTGGAGACTAGAGGAGTGCAAAAGCAATGTCATCCAAAAATTGATAATACAGAACCAGAGAAAAGAAAAGCAATAGAATAGGCATCGCAGTGTTGTGAAGATGAAGAGCGAACCCGCACCCGATGAATGAATACTTAACCACGTATAAGAGAAAGTGAACAAACCCAGCTGGTACAGCGAACCCTTTCACATTAAAGAAAACCTGTTAGGATGAAGCTCTAAAAGTAGTCCAATAGTTATCTAAAGCAAGGTTTCTAGCACTATATCTTAATCATAAGAAATATGCCTTGAATGCATATCATTCACTCAGAGAACAATTTATCGATTAGAGAGTTAACCTGTTTCCTCTGCATTCCTTGCAACTTCCAGTCCCCAGTATCACCAGAGATCGTTGTAGACAAATCAGAACCAGACATGAGCGGATTTTCAGGAGCGCCAACTCGACTTGGGTCTTTGCTGGAACTTTCGTTGCTGAACGAACGCCATTCACTGTTGACGTCGACAAGGCTAAAAGTAGGTTGATGAAGGACCATATTTAAAGTCCATGAAGCGGAAAATAAGTTACCGGTCGCCGACCACAACCCCGCACTCGGGACATATCAAATCCCCAGCACGATGGTCTTCAATCAGGTCGGCACGCGGATGAGCGGGACA